GCTCTTCCTTCCTCACCGGCCACCCTGCCCATGCCCTCCTCCTCTTCTCACAAACCACAAAACCAAATCTTTTCCACTACAACACCGCAATCCGCGGTCTCGTCTCCGCCAATCTCATGGTGGAGGCTGTTCACTTGTACTCCAATATGCGCCGGGAAGGTTTTTCGCCCGACAACTTCACTTTCCCCTTCGTTCTAAAGGCCTGCGCGTGTCTCCTTGATTTGGAAACCGGCGTGAAGATCCATGCCCAGCTTCTAAAGACTGGCTTTGAGCTGGATGTGTTTGTCAAGACCGGTTTGGTCTCCTTGTATGCCAAATGTGGTGGATTGGATGACGCCCAGAAGCTGTTTGATGAAATGCCTGTGACAAACGTTGTGTCTTGGACTGCAATGATTAGTGGATACATCACTCAAGGTAAGCTGAAGGAGTCTATAGAAGTGTTCAGGAAATCACTGGAGATGGGTTTGAAGCCTGATAGTTTTACCATAGTTAGAGTACTAACTGCTTGCACCCAATTGGGTGATGTGAATATGGGGGAATGGATACATGAATTGGTAGCTGAGAAGGACATGGACAGGAATGTGTTTGTGGCTACCTCACTTGTTGACATGTATACTAAGTGTGGAAGAATGGAGAGAGCTCGCCATGTTTTCAATGGAATGGTGCATAAGGATGTTGTTACATGGAGTGCAATGATTGGTGGATATTCTTCCAATGGACTCCCAAAAGAGGCATTGGAGCTGTTCTTCAAAATGGAAGCTGAGAACATAAAGCCAGATTGTTTCACCATGGTTGGAGTCCTTTCAGCTTGTTCAAAACTTGGGGCACTTGAATTGGGTGAAAGAGTTACTCAATACATGGAAATGAATGACTTTGTCTCTAACCCGGTTTTAGGGACGGCGTTGATTGACATGTATGCAAAATGTGGAAGCATGGCTCGGTCTTGGGTGATTTTTGAACGAATGAGCGAGAGGGACCTCATAGTTTGGAATGCTATGATTAATGGTCTTTCAATGACTGGTCATGAAAAGGCTTGCTTTGGTCTGTTTGCTCAAATGGAGAAGCTGCATGTAAGCCCAGATGGTAATACTTTTATAGGCCTTCTTTGTGCCTGTACTCATACAGGCTTAGTAGAAGATGGAAGGGCTTATTTCAATAGGATGGGTCAAGTTTACTGCTTGAGTCCTAGAATTGAGCATTATGGATGCATGGTTGATCTTCTTGGACGAAATGGCTTACTGGAAGAGGCTTATCAGTTGATAAAAGAGATGCCAATGGAGGTTAATGCTGTTGTTTGGGGGGCTTTGCTTGGTGGTTGCAGGATCCATAGGAACATTGATTTGGCAGAGCATGTGTTGAAGAAGTTAATTGTGCTAGAGCCTCAGAACTCTGGTAACTATGTTCTGTTATCAAATATCTATGCTCTAAATGGTAGATGGGATGAGTCTGAGAAACTAAGATTGACTATGAAAAGAAGTGGGATTCAAAAGACTCGTGGTTTTAGTTGGGTGGAGCTCAATGCTGCTATTCATGAGTTTCATGTGGGGGACAATTCCCATCCAATGTCAGGACAAATCTATTCGAAGCTTGATGAACTAACTAAGCAATTAAAGGCAGCGGGATACACACCGAGGACGGAAGTAGTTCTGTTTGACATAGAAAATGAAGAAAAGGAGCATTCATTAGAACATCATAGTGAAAAGGTGGCGATTGCATTTTTGCTGATTAATACTCAACCAGAGGAAACAATAAGGGTAGTGAAGAATCTTAGAGTTTGCAATGACTGTCATTCAGCCATAAAGCTTATTTCCAAAATCTACTGTCGGGAGATAATTGTTAGGGATAATAACCGGTTCCATTGTTTCAGAGAGGGAGCTTGTACGTGTAATGATTATTGGTGAAACAGAATACAGAACAAAAAAGCCATGGGGTTGTAGAATTAGACCAGATGAGGGAAGCATGGGTTAATGTGATTCAGAGAGGTAAATAGCAAGATGATACTAAAGCTAACCTGCTAAGGAGAAAGAAGAGATCTTCATAGATTCATTTATGTGTATTGGAAGATAATAAATGCTGAGCTAAAATATAACCCTGTAATTCATACCATAGATTTGAGTGCTAAAGGTTATCAATTTGTCTATTATTCTTCTAATATTTATCATACAAGAAAATGTGAATAAGAATGTAAACAATCTTTTTGGAATCTTGGGCTGGACATCATAGTTTCTTACAGTTGTTCATGTATTACTGGTTCAACCTCTTAGATGACATGCATCCATTGGAACGACAACGTTTCCTGTAAGTGCCATCTGCAGCCATTCAACTGAAGGGAACTAGCAGCTTTGGAAAAATTTTCGGCTCTGCTATGCTTTACCCTTGATTTATACAGGTAACTTCTGCTGCCAGTAACTATTTAGCTGTTAAAATTTTCTGTAGTTTTCTTAGTCTAGCTTCTTGATAATGATGATGATGATGATGATGCAAAAGCTTCTGTAGCCTTCAAAAATTGGTAAGCCAGTACTAACATTTAGCTTTGATATCATTGTTTCAATAATAATGGAAATCCATTCAGTTTCAGCATTCACATTTGATGTAGCTTTGATCATATAGGCTGAAATTCATTAACTTACAGAATACTATATGAAACTACTTGTGAATATGATCTTGTCGGCGTTTAAAAAGAGGGAAGTAGTTACGTTTGGGGGTCGCCCGTAAGAA